TTGGTAAGTATTATCAATACTTTAAAATATTTTATCTTTATTACTTCTAATTTATATTTCATTTTTATGTAGACTTGAATGTTTGAAGCAAATGAATTATTGATATGAATTATCGAAGTTTTATTAGTAATATTTAATTTTTCGTATTTGTATTTGACAACTTATTATTTATATATTATTAAATTAGATTACGTTAATTTGTAAAAGTTAAAATTGAACTTGGTATTTATATCTACTTTTTATTATTAATATTAGTATCTACTTTCAGGTGTATTTATGTAGTATTATTTTAAATGTTAAAAAATTTAATTATAGTACGGAACCGAACCGAACCCGAAAGGTTCCAAAATTATATTTGGAACCGACAATTCCATTTACTAAATACCCGAAAATTTCTGGAACCGAAAAAAACCGAACCGACCCGCGCCCACCCCTAATCCTAGTGTATATACAATAAGGATAGTACGTACTGTTATTTCTTCTTTGGAGCAGTGAAAAAAGTTAAGCCTCTAGTTGGAACACGGAACTGCCGGAGCACTGAATTTAGGTGACTGTATATCATCTAAAATGCATTATTGACTATGAAGCACGTGCAACTCCTACTAGGGTGGCTTGTCTTTGTCCGACAATCCTTGAACACTCCAAGACGCGTGTTTCATAAGTCACGTGCCATGTCATATATTTTTTAAATTTCGAATGCTTAAGTTATACTTTAGGACACTCTTAGAGATAGTTTCCGAAATACCATGTTCAAGTTCTATATTGAAAAGTATAAAAGTAGAGATATAATATATAAATGTGAAATTTTATTGAATTTAAATCAACCTGTCCCCTACTTGTGGTGTCAAGTCGTGTTAGTTCCATGCTTCTTAGATTAAAGCAATCTTTGCCTTTATATAATTGACTAAGATGAATGTCGTTAAGCATTTGTGATTATCGAATACGACATGTTTGCTTTGTTGGCTTGTTATATGTAATGACGTGATCCCTAATTACGAGAACAATAATAAACTACACACATTTGTATGTATATCACAAGAAGAAAGGGCTTCCATTAGAATCCTTTATATAGTATGGGAAACTAATATGATCTAATATAAAGAAAAATGAATGCCAAATATGCCTCTGTAATAAAATAAATTTGACTTAGGGTCCCCCCAAACCTGAATCATGTCGATCCGCAATTGAGGAGAAAAGTGGAAAGTATAATAGACTCTACCTAGCTATTACTCTCATTTGGTCCTTTACTTTAGAATACAATAAGAGTGATCATGGCTTGTTTAGTACCTGTCATGGTTGAATCTGTCAGAAGGCTAGAAAACTTGAATGAGCTTGGCTTGATCCTAACAAGCTTGTGAACTTGTGTTCCCAATAGGTTTTATATTTTGACCAAGTTCTTGTTTATTTTCATTTTACAACTCTGGGCAGGTTATAATTTCTTCATTATCTGTCATTATGAGAAAGAAAATTAGAACACATTCATTTTATGCACAAGAAGGCTAAAATTGTCATAGTAATTTGGTTTTACTTTCTCAAATTTATGCCCCATTTGATTTCAATTCTTTTACCTAACTATCATACCTGATAGATCACTTTTATATTAAAATGTTTGGTTAGCACCGGAATATCCATTATTTGGTTGTCAAAATAAGCAATTTCTTTCATAAACAATTCTACAATCCAAATGAGACAGAGCCTAAGGGGGTGTATTCAATTTGGATTTTTGAAGAGTTTTAGAGAATTTTTTAAGTAAATGACTTTTGTAAGGTTCAATGAACTTTTATTGACTTTATTAACTTTTACACAATCAATGAAAGTCTTCATAGACTTCTATAGAATTTTATACACTTTTATAAGGTTCATTTTACTTTTCCAACCTTTCATTTTAGGGGGAAAAAAAAAGAACTACTTATATATAAATTTTTGGACATCCTTCTTACTGCTTCTTGCATGACCAAATGATCCATAACACAGTTTCAAAATTATATTTCTCATATGAATAAAAGTATTTTTTAAAAGAATATAAAAAATATAAGTCACCTAAATTAGAAAAGTAAACAACCAAAACACAAATAAAAAATAACAATTTAGTACTACGTTATGAAGGAAAAAAAAATGAATCTCTAATGTTCAAACCTGTAGAAAGTTATTAAATTAAACAAGAAACCAATACATAAAAATTTAATGATAACTTTAATTTATTTTTTTATAAAATTTTAATATAAAAATTGATCTCACTATATAAAAATTGGAGGTAACAATGGAAAAGAAGATAGTGACAAATTTTATAAGAATTTTTTATTTACAGGTTTTTTTTATAGAAAAAGAAGATAGAGAGGATAAGAAATTAGAATATTGAAAAGAGAATGTGAAAAATATTTATTTTTTGTATTATGGAGGTAAGATTCGTAGAATGAAAAAGGGAAGAGAAATATTCATATGGAAAGATATTTTTTTCAATAAAACTTTTTATGAGATCTTGTGTTTATACTTTCTGCTTAAAAGTTAGTATTGACATTTTGAATATCCAATCACTTTTTAAGACTTCTAAAAATCTTGATTTAATACCCCATGACTTTTTAAAGATTTTTAAAAAGTTTATATTGAATATCCTAAGACTTTTATAAAGTTTTAAAAAGTCTTAATTGAATACAACTAAACTTTTGAAAGTCTATAAGGATCCATTTGATTGCAAATGTGGAAAATGGGTGGAAAGAAAATGAATTCTAGAGAATTGAATTGTTTAGAAATTGTTTTACTGGGAATTGTAATTAATTGTGTTTGATTGATATAATTTTCCATGTGGAAATGTTGAAAATTTGGTGTCTATTTGACTTTGTTTTTCATGAAAATTGTCCATTAAAGTGATAATTTCTTTTACCATTGGGTCTAGAATTTGTTTAACTTGCCAAAAAAAATTTTAAAAAAAATTACCATACCTAATACTATTCGTTTGGCTTTATTTTGCATGGAAATTATCAATAAAAGTGATAAATTTTTTTACCATTAGGTTTAGAATTTTTCCCTAAAAAAAAAAAAAGCTAGAAAATGAAAACCCACCTAAAAGGTGGGAAAACAATTTCAACAAAAATGTGGAAAATGTAGAAAGTGAGAAATATCAAACACTACGAAAGTTGGAAAATTGAAAAAAAATTACATTTTCCATGGAAAATGTTGCCCATCAAACAGGCCTAAAAGTTTTCAAAATTCTAGATTGAATACACCCCTAAAGATTCAATTGTTCTATTCTGTACTTGAAGTTCTCTCGAAACTCTACCATTTAGCTTTTGAACCCAAGTCACCAACCTCATAGTTTTACCTTGAACTCGCTAGAAGGAAACATGTCATTGACACGATTTGATCTTGATCTTAACTAGTTGGAAAACAATCATGACTTTTAAAAGAATGAAATAACCAAGAACTACGTGAGTTTAATGATGATCTTCCATGGGAAGGATGATTGTTATGCAGCTTTTTTCTGCATTCTTCTTGTTTTCATAGTGACACGTTCTAAATTTTTTTGTTGTGTGCTGAAGTCATGCTATTATATTGCTTTAATCCCCTGTTAATCTTTCTCATCTTTGCTCGTTTTACAGGCACGTTTACCCTATCTAACCTTGGAATGTTTGGTGTCGACCGCTTTGATGCCATCTTACCTCCAGGAACTGTAAGTGTTCAAACTTAAGTTCCAAAGCATTCTTTCCGCTAGATTGGTCGAGTGGGTATTGTAAATTATCTCTCTAAATGCCTCAGAGTGTGTTTGCCTAAGCTTATTTGGTGGCATTTTCACAGGGTGCAATAATGGCCGTTGGTGCATCTGAACCCACTTTGGTCGGTACAAAGGATGGTCGGATTGGTCTGAAAAATCAAATGCAGGTAGAGATGCTTGGTCATTTTAGTGCTTGTTTGGCAGTGCTTTTAAGTACTTATAATCTGTTGGTCCTACGGAATGTGTGGGTAGTAAATTGTAGATTCTACGAAATATGTGTATAAAAGTATGTTTGACCAGCTTAAATTTTAATTTAAGCTTTGTCAAACATGCTCTTATGACTCCTATTCTTATCTTTTACCAAATCTTGTTGTTACTTCGTTTTAGTGACCCTCGAATGCAATTCTTCCAGGTAAACGTTACTGCAGATCATCGTGTGATATACGGCGCTGATCTGGCAGCTTTCTTGCAAACCTTGGCTAAGGTAATTGAGGACCCTAACGATCTCACTCTTTAGTTTCATCTCACCTCGACAGGTTCATGTTTTGTTAGCACATCAGCTTTTCTACTGGTGCTTGATGGAAGTAACCTTGTCTTAAGAATTCAGAAGTTAATCTCCTTCGGAAAAAACTGGAATCTGTTTTGTCGAGTTCGACTGTTAAATATTTTGATTCTTCATTCATAGTCTTCTCGATCAAGGACATCACTTCATTATAAAGTTTCGGCTACATTTGTGCAGTAGATTTTATTTTACTTGGCATTTAGAAGTCGAAACACTACAATTGAGTTCCTCTTGTGAACTGTTATATTTTTTTATGCGTTGAGTTGATAGAAACGCGGTGAAGTTATAATTTACTTCTTCAAACCATGATGCGTTGCTTCAGCCTGCTCGTCAGATGAATCTAAACTGGCTTTTTTGGGGAGTTGGATTGTAATGAACAAATTCAAGAGCATACGTAAATCTTAAAAAGTTACTTATAATACTTTTACTTTGAAAGTGATTCTTGTATTTGTTCCTAACTTTTATAAATAATAATAATTATTTATAAAGTACTTATACGCAAACTTTTTAAGCTTAGCCGAGCATGCTCTGTAGATGAAAAGAAGTTAAAATCTTGTAATTGTGATCGTCCTCTCTAGTAGTATTCAATACTACAAGTTGTGCTTACTGATATTTTTCAATACTATCTACATATCTAACACGTTGTTCACATAATAAATTGGGCCTCAATATTGAAGTCTCGCATGCACGCTGATTTTTTTTTTTAAAAATCAAATATTAGAGATAATAAGTAGGTAATGTAGAAACATAAACTTTGGTATCTTAATTCTATGTTAATCATTTTATTTAAAATGTTGAAGTCGTTGGAGAGTTGTCACGTCAACTTGCCTCCTCACGTGTTATTTATTATACGTGTGCAATTTTCATAAATCAATAACAGCTAAATTTGAACTCAAATCAACTTCCAGAGTTGGCATGCCATTTTGAGTACTTATGTATAACCATCTAATCACAGCTAGCATCCTATAAAATGTGGTCACAATGTTTTATATACAAAATGATTTTGTGAATAATGTGTCATTCAACTTAATAATACAACTTTGAATGGGACCCACCCAAAATTAATGTACCCAATAATCTTTCACATAAACAAGGTGTGGTGTCACAAGTTGTAGCTGTTGAACTAAAAATGTCCAAACATAATCGACAACCAAACCTTCCACACTACCAACTACCCCATTAATTCTTCACATCCCTTTTTTACACAATCCAGCCACACAAATCCATGGCCATTGAACAACAAGAAGAAGACTTCAGCTTCCCCGCTACGACGGCTGATTCTCGGCCGCACTTCATTGACTCGCCGCCCCTCTAGCGCCCCATTTCCATCCACCCGCAGCATGAAAAACCAGAAAGATTAGTTAATAAAGAAGAAAGCAAAGAAACTTGCAACAACAATCAAAGAAAGAACTTTTCGCACGGTATGAAGGTCGAACGAAGAGGAGAAGAAGACGATGACGTTGATAACGAGGAGGAAAAAATGGACATGTTGTGGGAGGATTTGAATGAAAAGTTCTCAAGAAAGCTTGTGGCTGATTCTGATATGTCTTCACCTGATAGAGATGTACAAATAAGCTGTGTTAAAACCTTAAAGTGGTCGAAAACTAATGGACATTTGTTTTCTGGAAAAAAACTAAGCATTTTATTGCTTATGAAGATCTTGATGAAAAAGGTTTTTGTTGTACATAATTCTCGTAGTTCTATCAAGAACCGGGCATGGTGACATAAACATAATACATTTGCCATTTGTTCATCGTGTTTTTCTTGCACATTTGAGTTTGATTTCATATTTTCACAAATTAAAAATATTGAGGATGATTGAAAGAGTTGAATGTACATCTTTTTTGTGTTTCAAGTTTCAACCTTTTTGTTTGGTTCGCATTTGAGAAGTCAAAAGAATTCTTCTTCAAAACGACAATTTATTGGGTCGGGATATGGTTTATATAGGTACTGAAGTGCTCATTCACAAGTACGATATGATCTCATTAGAACAGTCTAGTCAACAATTTGTGCACAGGATTATAAGGACGTTCAACGATTTGATAGATGACTCCTTAGCATTGCGTCCCTCAACAGCACATTGATAGGGACTTTAAATGTAGATTGAAGTAGAATTGATTCATCGAATCAATGTAACGATGGATCAAATAAAGTGACAAAATGAGAATATATGCATTTGACTTCAAATTTACGAGGCTGAAAACTCAATTTGTTCTTGTATATTGTGATAAGTACAAGTGTGTGGTAGAATAATTTGTTTAATTAGATGATTCCATTTGCCTGTGATTGCTTCAACGTATAGTTACTTGTCATCTATCACTTAAATAAACCTGTCCAAGCCGTAATGCGCCTGCAGAAAATTTATAACAAATAGAACCACCAAATTTGGGATAACGATGTTAAGATTTGGTGTTCCATCTTAAAAGATGAACCTTATTAAGAGAAATAATTCAAACTCTTATAAATTGGTCTATATTTTCATATTTATTCAATGTGGGATTTTCTCCCTTAACATGCCCCCTTAAGATGGTGGTTCGTTTGAGCAGACTAATCTTGAAATTCGTGTGCTCAATTTTTTTGAATCTTAATCGGATCGAATTGCTCGTTGGAGTTTAACGGGCTCTGATATCATGTTAAAATTTGAGATTCCATCTTAAAAGGTCAACCTTATTAAGAGAAATAACCAAATCCTTTATAAATTAGTGTATGTTTATATCTTTATTCGATGTGAAATTATATCCCTTAATATGCCCCCGTATTAAGGGATAGAATCGAATAAAGATGTAAATATAAATCAACTTATAAAGGATTGTGTTACTCCTCGTAATAAGTTTGACATTTTAAGATGAAACCACAAATCTTAACATGATATCAGAGCCCATTAAGCTCTAACGAGTAATTCGATCCGAAAATGCATATACGAATTTCAAGATTGGTCTGTTCAAACGAGTCACCATCTTGCGAGGGCATATTAAATGATAGAATCCTACAACGAATAAAGATGTAAACATAAACCAACTTATAAAGGATTATATTACTCCTCTTAATAAGGTTAACCTTTTAAGATGGACACAATTCTTAACACATTTTACTTAATTCCAAGCTAATCTTATTATTTCTTCACAGCAATAGTGCCTACTAAGTTAACGTTTTGTGTCTCAATTTTTGGTTGAATAAACAGACTTTCACTTCAATATACACTTTGTTTACTCAAGTCTTTACATATACGAGTCCATTCTTTCTTCAATGTTATTATTCACATTTTGCATTTAAAGCTCTGAATTTTGCTACATCCTAATCCATCAAAAGGATCTGAACATAATTTTCTCAGATCTTGTTCCATAGATTTCCTCACCAAAACATAATATAGTAAAATAAAATACTTCATTTGGAATCAAACTACAAAACATAGTTCAATTTATTTTCAATTTCTATCCGAGTGGGATATGATTTAGTTAATGAGTAAATTTTAAATACAAAAAAAAAAATTCAAGATAAATTACTAAAGTGGGGATGTTTTTGATTCCNNNNTCTGTTCAAACGAGTCACCATCTTGCGAGGGCATATTAAATGATAGAATCCTACAACGAATAAAGATGTAAACATAAACCAACTTATAAAGGATTATATTACTCCTCTTAATAAGGTTAACCTTTTAAGATGGAATCCTAAATTTTAACAAACGAATGACAAATATCTAAATACTTTATTAATCTAAAAATGGAAAAATAGCAACTCATGCAAGGCGCATTTGGATACCCAACTTACCAAAATAGAGCAATTGAATCTCTAAAATTTCATTTTCTCAGTAGTCGAGGTCCTTCAGTACAAAACACATCCAATTAACCATTGAGTCATACTATGTGTACATCCAGATGTGCACATAGCATTATTGATTAGGATCATGCCAGTGTCATATTCTTTGACATAGAATTTGACACAATGCCACGTGACATCATATTAATGAACTGCTTTAAATACAATGAACTTTCATATCAAATCATCTTCTGTCACTTCAAATTATGTCAAAGTATTTGTTAAAATTTTCTAGATAAGAAGCAAAACTCTATTGATTAGGATCATGCTACAGTGCCATATTCTTTGACATAGAGTTTGACATAATGCCACGTGGCATCATATTAATGAAGTGTTTTAAACAAAGTCAACTTTTCTATCAAATCATCTTCTACCACTTCAAATTATGTCAAAGCAACACAAACTGCAATTTTGCAGATATCGAACTGCAATACACTTCCAACCCATCTCCCTCAGAAAATCAGAAATCAATTTTGCTACGGGTACATCACGGTATACATCACGGTGTACACCCCTCTCACATGGGGGGTGATGTCCACTCAAATAAAAAAATATTATTTAAGTGGGTCCCACACTCCATGTGAGGGGGGTGTAGACCGTGATGTACATATCTTGATGTACAAGTAGTATTTTCCATCAGAAATTGACATATTGAAGATAATAAATAATCAATATAATTGAACTTCTTTGAGAATACTAAATTTTCTTTTAACAGCAATAGCCCATATCACATAAATCCATCAACATGGACAAAGGCAATAGGTTTTTGTAGGCTAAATTACAGAATCCTATAAAAAAATGCCCAAGCATCATTGTCTTGTACAGAACCAAAATTATATCAATCTGAGAACAAAATGGCACCCAGAATTCTAAAAAAGTGCAAAGTGAAATTGAATGATCATTATTGAATATCTAGTCTAGTATAAAAATATTGGGTGCTTCATATTTCTATTCTCCATATGATATTGGAGATTAAAATGAACATAGGCTCCAGGAATTTAATATCCTTTTTCCTCCAAGCAGAATGAGGAGCCACCAGAACTGAACTTTGTTTTCTTGTTTTCATGTCAATTAAAGCAGTATGCATTTGTTACTCTTCATGGTAATTTGGCAATTTTCCATTCATTGTGTGATATCAGAATCACCTCTGCAACTTTGAAAAAGTACTCGGAAAGAAACGGTTTACTCCTGGTGGTTCATTTTGTACAAAAAATGAATCGGTTTCTAAGAAAAGCTCAACATCGTGTTGAAAACTATGCCGTCTCATGTTGGGCGATATTCCTTCTCTCCTCAGACCTGTGATGGAACAACTTCGCAACCTTTCGCCTCTCGCAGTCCTGTATTACATGTAAACGGGCTTTAGACTATATCACGAAAGAGATATAAGCTATAATCTCGTTCATTGTATATAGTACTGCATGTCAAACAAGCACTATTAGTGCTCAAGAACACCGAAAATGTTTGGTCAATTTGCCTTGTAGGTTATGCTCAATTAGAGTTAGGATGCAATGGAGGGCTCACCTTGAACATATTGAGATAAAAGGATTTCTCAGGATTCATCCTTCTCAACTTGTGATATGTATACGCAAAACTTAGCTGGTCACGAGGAGTGAACCGTTCGACCTCGTTAAACCAAAGGCAAGAGAACAAGTTTGACATTGGTGTGTGGGCCCTAACAATAAAAGACCCTTCAGGTACATCTGTTAAAGAAACAAAAATATTATACACGAATAAAGATTATGCTGAGAGAAGATTTCAAACAAAATGGAAATGCAAAATCATACTGCTCGGAAGAAGCTTGTTCGGATCTGATGCATTAAATTTTTTCATCCCATCGCCTTGATAGAATGTAAATTGTTCGTCTATAACAGTATGGTTGTACTTGTTAAGCTTCTTATTTTGGGCAACCTCTTCCCACAAACAATGGCGGTCATAGTGATTGGATATAGCATATTCATAACCTTTCCTCCACAGGAAATATTCCAAGATAAGCATTGGATCAAGTTGGAGACGAAGTTTACTATCCAACCAAATTGAGTACCTGAAATAATTTCCAGAAGCAAATGGATAAAGTAAAACACAAAAGGGACATTTAGATAAGCAGTTATAAGTGAAAAATTATCGAGCAAAAAAAAAAAGAAAAGATTAAATTCAGAAATTACTTCCTTGAGTTGACGGCAAAATATATTTTTATTATGGTGTAGATGAAAATCGAGTCAAGAATTTCATGATTGATTTTCTTACATCCTATGAATCATCTTACTAATATGTTGCAGAATTCAATACTCCCTCCATGATTGAAATATTTTGTTTGACAATTACAACGAAATGGATAATTAATCGGTGTACACTTTCTTATGTTTTCATCTAATATCCAACAAGGGTTGTTAGTTTGGCACAAGTCGAAGTACGAATTCATAAATTCCCAGATCCAGCACACACAAACGAATTATGAAATAAATTTACTCTTCTTTTGTAGACTAGAAATTCAGATCTATTATCACCCAAAATTAGAAAATAGTACAGACAAGATGAGTCAAACATGGAGCCATTACATAAAACGAAAAGCATTTAATGTACCTGGCTGAAGGAAAAAGACGGTGTGGCAAAAATTTTGGTATCTTCCCAACTCTCCGCATGTCAGCGTAAGGAAGATTCTTCACAACCACAATTTTCCACAACCCAATAAAGCCCATTCTATCTGGCATATGACCTTCTGAAGAAAGCATACGTAAAGTAACTTCATCCACAAACATTACAAAACATACATTTTTCCTTGACAGACGAGAGACCTGAATTTATAAAACAAGAAAAAAGGTTAGATCAGAAGCATAGACCAGCTCATTAAATGCTACAAGTTCAACTTCACAAACTGGTGACTATGAAACACTAATACAGATAGGGATA